CCTGTTCTGAGGATGTATTTTAGCAACTCTTCGAATGTCAGCTGTGAGGTTGAGTGAGCTAACCAGGCTATCACTAGTATACTCACTGTAAATATAATATATTAATATTACATATATTCTTTCAGACCTGCCCTGTTCTGAGGATGTATTTTGGCAACTCTTCTAATGTCAGCTGTGAGGTTGAATGGGCTAACCAGGCTATCACTACTGCACATATTTTGAAACGTTTTCCCAACAACACACTGGTGCATGCAGCCTATGACATGCGTGTGGTGGGACGCCCTCTCATCTACAGTATAGGTATCATCTGTAACTTTCTGGCCATTGCTGTCTTCTCACAAAGAGCTTTCCGTAGGACCTCAAGTTGTATGATCCTGACAGCAGTAGCTGTGGCAGACATCTTCATTTTAACCCATGGCTATTTCTACTGGGCAGAATATGACCTGCTCACACCCACTCTGAGCCATGATGAGTTCACATGTAAAGCTGTCACCTTTATAGAATACTTTGGACCAGAGCTGAGTGTATTTCTGCTGCTCCTCCTAGGAGCTGAGAGAGTCTTGAAGGCAGGTCACAGAGACCTCCATGAGAAGTACTTCACCCCATGTAGGACTGCTGTGGCTATAGTTGTATTGGTTATGGTATTGGTTCTTCTGAACATCCCCGTGTTGACAGCACATATCTACCTGGAGGATCCCTGCCTGGGGATGGTTTGCTGGAACATACTGGAACACAATGGGGAGGAGGCCCTCAACTCCACCGATAAGAACTACTTCCTGTTCTACAGGTACCTGGTGCTCACCCTCTACGGCCTCCTCCCATATGTGGGTCTCCCGCTGCTCAATGGATGGCTGTACTGGATCACACGTAAGCAGTACCGTAGCTTCAATGAAGACAACTTTGAGAGAATTCCAGACCCAGACCACCCTCACTATGAGGACGAAGAGCTGCTGGTACACACACAGAAGTTGGAGCATGATAAGCGTGAACTGACACGGCTGGTAATCCTGGTCACTGCATCATTTTGCCTCCTTACAATGGGCTACAACATCATCCAAGGGCACCTGTATGAGATCCATAATGCAAAGACTGAGCATAAACAGGCAGTCAATGCCATGATCTACTCTGTGTTTGTACTGTTGTTTTATCTCAATCACGCCTCCAATTTCTTCCTCTACTGCCTCAGTTGTAAGGTGTACAGAGAGGAGCTGAAGGACATGATAATGAGGAAGACAAAGAAAACCAAGGCAGTCCTCACTAATACCCTCCTCCATACCACTAGTAATGACAGACTTCTATAGAGTGACAGCAGATAAATGGAAATAACTTCATATAAGGCTGTCCTCACAAATACCCTCCTCCATATATTGCCACTAGTAATGGCAGACCTCTATAGAGTGACAGAAGTTAAATGGAAATAACTTCATAATTCATATAAAGATAGAGGGAATCTGAAATATTTTCATTATCAGATATTTTACAAGGCATAATTTGATGTTGAACATGAATGTGACAACTTTTGAATGCATGACAATTATTTAGGTTAGTAAATTGTCAATTTTCAAAATGGCACACAACGCCCCCTACCAAGAGTTTCAATATTGCCAAACTTGAATGAAGAGTCAGAATCTTTGACAATGGACACCATGAACCACTTCCATTAACTTTATCATTAAAAATGAGGATTATAGTGATCAAATATTTTATCAGCTTCTGATAGATATGTATTATAAGGCAGAATCAGAATTATCCTTACATCCAACAACCAAAGCTTGAACTTTTTTTAATACTATAAAATATGATGTAACTATGAGTGAAGACAAGTATAAACTGTGGTGTGATTAAATCACTGGTCAAAATGCCAGCACATTACTACAGAATGGCATTGTTTTCTCAGACCAGTCTTCTAGTTCATCAACTATAAGTACAGGGTTATAATATATGGGGTGTTTTTTCACTGAGGGACAGCAGAAATGGTCTCTCTGTCTCTCCCTGGAACGTTGTCTATAATTGTGCATTGTAACAATATATACCTGTATATATATATATCAACTATAACTACAGGGTTATAATGGGGTAGTTTTTCACAGGACAGCAGAAATCGTCTCTCTGTCTCTCCCTGGAACATTGTCTATAATTGTGCATTGTAACAATATGTAACTTTATTTACTTCACATAATCTGTTGAATAAAATATAACATGCATGCAGCACTGTGTATAAAAAACTTTGACTCACTAATTTATGTGGTTGATAACAAAATTATCCTGGACAGGACAGATAAAGGTAACCCTAGTCACTCGATCACTCTCTCCATTGCACTGTCCCAGAGCATACCATGTTATCACCCAATCCAGATAACAGGGCATATACTCTCCCCACCACACTGAGGTCATATGAACAGGCAGTCATTACTGACACTATCTAGCAGAGGTGAGTATTATTTGTGCACTCTGAAACATTTTTTTAAACATATAATTATGTAAAAGTAAGTCTGTAATAGCTATGGAATAAGTTAACTACTGTATAGTAATTATATCACAGCAAAGAGGTTACCTCCACTGTACAGTATCATCATCTTATGGACAAAAAAAAGTTGTACTAATGAACCAACAGACGCTTCTAAAAACATGATGTTTCAAATTGCTCTTTTTTTTCTGTCTTGATTTAATCTGCTACAGTGGCATAGCTCTCTCTGTCTCTCTCTCTCTCTTACACACACATACACACACACATACACATGCACACAAACACACACACTCCCTCTTCAAACTCTACTTAATCAACTATATATAGAATCCAATAAGTCTGTAGCATTTGTTCCCCTATACCCCCAGGTATGATAGCACCTGTTGTCCCCAGTATCATCTAGAGGACATGGACGGCTTAGATATCACAAATCTAGACCACTCTTACAACAACACATTGGAATATACGGCCCAGACCATAGAAGACAGAAATTTGGGGCATTCTTACAACAACACACTGGAAAGTGCTGCCTACACTCTACGCATCATTGGTCGCCCTCTCATTTCAGTCGTTGGTATTTGCTGCAACATCCTGACACTTGCTGTTTTCTCACGAAAACCTTTACGTTGGGCCCCTAGCTGCATGATTCTGAAGGGCGTTGCCTTAGGAGATATCTTAGTTCTAATTTGTGGATTTTTCTACTGGACTAACTATGACCTTGACATTCCTTCCATGACAGCCAATGAGGGTGTCTGTAAATTTGTGACAATCTCAGCGGAATATTTTGGTCCTGAGCTCACATCGTCTCTTCTCATCCTGCTGAGTACAGAGAGACTTCTCAAGGCTGACTACTCTGATGCACACGTTGTCTATTTCTCTGTGAAGAGAACCACAATAGCAATCCTATCCTTGGCACTGTTCTTTTTCTTCCTGAACATTCCAGTGTTAACTACACACATATTTCTAGAGCATCAAAATGGCAGTGTTAGTATCTGTTGGAACCTGTTCCACAGCACAGACAGTGTATTGTCTGCAGCAGACCGTCAGTACTACTCTGTGTACAGATATATAGTTCTGGTGCTGTATGGGGGGATCCCCTACATTGGACTGCCTATACTGAATGGATGGCTTCTGTGGAAGATGAGGGTCCGTCACAAACTGGTCAGCATAGATGTCCAGGTGACTGGCCGTATTCCTGACCCTCTACACCCCATGGACACAGAGGAGGAGGTCATGGTGGAGGCACGGAGAGGGGAGNCAGTTTGACGATAGAAGTAGAGTTCTATGGTTTGACATAGTGAAAATGTCATCACATATACAAATTCAGCTTTGTGTTACACTCTGCATAACTAGCCTACTGGTAAAAGTCAGAACTGCCATCTAATTTTTTACCTGGTTTCTTGAGGTTATTCAGTCGCACTTAAGAGAAAGATCAGCCTATCTTCATTGTAAATGCTACTTAATTGAAGAAAGTGAACAGAAAATAATTAAGGCATTGTCTAGAGATACGACTGAAAATAAAGGTGAACAAATGAATGAGGACACTTCATCTTATGGGTTGAGTTCTTTACATTTTTATTAGTTATAAATGGAAATATATAAAAATACATGATATTACATTTAGACATCAATATACTGGACTACTCAATCAAGTTCATTACAGTGCTACACCAAAGCAGTCCAGCTGCTTCTACTGTATGGGTGAAAGTTTTCAGGATTTACATATTTTTATGTGCTTGATTTCAGGATTTTCAGTCTTCATTTTGATTCTTTTTTTATCATATGGTCTAAGTACAATGAGCAATTCAGGATTTTCAGTTTTTACAGCTTTCACCCATGTTCTACTGTATATAATCAACAATTCTGTCTGAAAAAAATAGGTATTATAGTAAGAGAAACAACAAAATCGAGAAACTTTTCCATCCATGTCCTGGACTATTGCATATAGTCCTTGTCTGCTGTTATATATTTGCTGAGCAAATTTTTAAGCATGGCAAGCGCTCCTCATCTCAGTAAAATTCTGGATCTGCAAGTGATAGTGAAATACAAAAGTACAGTATGACTGTGCAGTAAGGTGATCATCCTCATCCTGATAAAAAAGATTTGATAAATACATAAATGTCCTCTGGGATATTATAATTTTCATTCTTGGATAAATAAATGTCTGTATTGTTACATAACATTCATTGGGTACTTATAATTTCATTAATTTTGTAATATCAAACATTTTTGGATGAATAAGTGTCCGTATTGTCACATTTCATTCAAAGAGTACTTTTTACTTTTAAAATTAATTTTGTAATATCATATGATTGAAAGAATGGCTTCATAATCTTCTTAGTCCTTAAGTCTATAGCTAGTTAATGTTGATTTTGTAAGGAACTGTACTAGTTGTCTTATTTTGGCAGTATGGTTTTTCTGAAATCTTGAATATGATTTCTTGGGTCAAGTTCCATATGGCATTGGCTTTTACAACTTTACTTTTTCCTCACTGGGTATTGCGTAAACTACGTTGTCATAGGCAAAAGTTTCTTTCTCTTTAGCTGGCTTTTCATTGACTGCATTCTGATAAATTGCATTATCATAGGCTCCATTGAATTTGATTGTACCTACAACTGGGGAGGGTCTGCAGTTTCTGAAGAAGTGAAAAAAAGATAATACATGTAGTGAAGAATTTTCATAATTTGTTGGTCAAATAGCTTACAGTTGTATTAAAAATAGAAAAAAACATACATCTGTAGCTAAATGAGGCAATAAATTTCATATCAAATAAAATTAGGAAAACTTCATTATCATTTCATTATTTTTTTTAAGCAAATGTTTCTTGTTTTGAGAAGTTCATGATTATTATACAATTCACAATTGAAATCTTATTGTATTCATCAATAATGGCAAGATAACGTTATTCTTATATTTTCTTTTTACATGGTCCAATATGGTTGCTTACCTGTACAAAAAGAATGCACCAACAACCAACATTACAAGGAATGCTGCAGCCAAAACGCCCACCAAAATAAGAACTGAAATAAGAATCGTGATTAATTAAATGACTGGATAATAATTTATTTCCTGGAAATGTTGCAGCACTTAATTGATCTGAATAGTCAGGTGAAGTATTTATCAAAAAAAAAAAAATCTTCACTTATAATGAATTATTAAAAAATGTTAACTTGGTTTATTTTGCTGTATTACTTATGCGCCTGTCCTCCAATACCCCATTTTAATCTCAAATTCATGAAATTGAAGCAAAAATTGCCCTCTTACTGTGTTCGTGTTTCAGCCCTGGTCTTTCAAGCTTTTCAGTTTCCTTCATTGTGTTCTCCCCATCTGTTTGCTTCTCATTGCCTGCAACCTGCACTTTAGGGTTGGTAGGAACCTCCTCTGGTGGTATTGGTGGGATCTTAGGGCCTTGGGTTGGGTTTGGCAGCTTTTCTGGACCACTTGTGGGGACTGGTTTTATTAGGATAGGCCCACTGGTGGGGACTGGTCTTGTTGGGATAGGCCCTCTGGTGGGGGTTGGTGTTGTTGGGATAGGCCCTCTGGTGGAGACTGGTGTTGTTGGGGTAGGCCCTCTGGTGGGAGCAGTTGTTCTTGGGATAGGCCTTCTGGTGGAGACTGGTCTTGTTGGGATAGGCCCTCTGGTGGAGACGGGTCCTCTTGTTGGAGCTGATGTTGTTGTTGTCCAGGCATCTGTCCAAGGCCCTCCACTGACCACATGGTTGTCTTGACATTGTACATTTAGCCAGGTACGACGCTTGATTATATTGTGGTGACTTCCACGGCTGCCATGGTGACCATGACTACGTCTTGAGCGATGATGGTCATCATCATCATCATCATCATCATCATCATCGTGGTCATTATCATCATCATCATCATCATCATCATGGTCGTTATCATCGTCATTGTCATCATGCATGTCAAAGTCTTCATCATCATTATCTCCAGAAACTGAAATGTTAGAGCATATTGAATTGTGAGTCTTTTGGAAAGCCTTTTGTATAAAATTAGGATCTTTTATGATAGAATTGGAAGTAAGACATCTTAATTTGGTCAGCTTGGTTATGAAAATCATTTGCTTTTTTTTTTCATTTTCCCTTACTTGATTTAAGACTTACCCCATTGATAAGCAGATAGCTTGATCCAGAATCTGCTATTACTGTTCAGTACACTGTCATACTCCAATGACAAATGATGGGCATCACTAAACTGTGTTATGTAATTGGTCAGGTTAGTACAGGCAGCATGGTATGTGGAGGTATGAAGGTAGTTCAAGCCATGCCATGAAACTGTTTTAGTCTCATTTATGGTCAGCTTAGCCAGGTATCTGCACACTGCCCTGTGTCTGGAGTAGAAGTGAATGGAGCCCCCCATGCTGACATCGACTGCCTCCAAGAGGATGACACTGTTGGCAGGCGGGGTAACCTTACAGGAGCAGTTGTGAACTTGAACTGATGGTGATGGATATCTACTGCTGGTGAGGTTGATGGGCAGGGTGCTGTTGATGTTTATACTGCTGCACATTGGTGTGCTGATAGTTTTGACTAAAATATAATGGATATTTGAGATGATTATGTTTGTGTTATATTGTATATGGAGTTGACGACATATATCAGTGATCAGATATGTTGACATTTAATCATAATGTAATAGTAGTTAAGGGAAGGTGTGGATATTTGTGTAAGGTAAAAAACAAGCAGTGTTGTAAAAAAAATTGATGTAAGATAATGAATTACTGTAAACAAGATGATTGTAGAAACAGATGCATTCTTACTGGGTTCACAATCATAACCCACTTCAAGGTGGTTGTAGTTGATTGTGTTAGTTGATCCCCTGCGCATGTCATTGGTTGTGATAGTCAAGTTGCATGCCTGTCTGCCAGAGCAACTTGTAGCCAATCTTTGTTGTAATGCTGGGGACACATAACATCTTGCCATACACAACCATCCACGGCAGTTGTGGTTTGGACATCCTGTAGAGGATGACATTTTCATGTTTCTCAGGCGAATAATTGTGTTGGAGGAACAGTGTAGTGCCAGGTTTTGACCTGTGCATGTGGTCACAGTATGTGCCGGAGAGCTCTGGTCCAACTGCCATGTCAGGTGGGTGCTTTCAGTGCCTAATATAAATACAAATGTGTCCTTGGATTGGTAATGCTCAAATATCTGGCAAATATATGATTTACACATACATAAATTTTTCAGTTATTTGATAAGTACTTGAATGCTGACAAATTTTTGAATATAAGGCTGTATTCCCAGAGCTTTTAGATCGATCTATCCCCGCGGGGAGTCTCACTAGATAACTGTCAGATAATCCAGCTTAAATGTCCGTCCCGCCTACTACAAGCTGTAAGGGGGTAATTAACTTTCGTGTCCGCCCGGCTGACAGCTATTTAGCGTGAACCCCCAGGGAGTTAGGTCGATCTAAAGTAGGTCGATCTAAATTCTGGAAATGGGGTCTAAGTCAGTTTTTTAATTACTATATCAACAAACAATTTTTTTTTATTTTCCAAAGAGGAAAAATAAAAGCTGTAAAAATATTGTCTTTTCCTTACTGTTTTGAAAAATGATAAAACTTTTATTAAAGCAAACTTTGACCATATTTTAAAAAATGTAAAAATAGTGACTTCTATGCACTGAAATGTTTTATTTGTCTTACAACATACTATCCTTCTTAATTTGTTTTCTTTCCTTCTTAATTACTTTTCATTCCTTGACTATCAATGCATTGTGTGTCATAATGTCAATTTTATGAGTAATTTTTCTTACAGACATTCGAAGGTAAGAGGGGTTTTGGATATTGACTAAAAACTAATTTAAAATTTCAGATTTCAGAAAAATATGCAGATCTGTAATATAAAAAAAATTATAAACTGGGAAAAATAATATCAGGTGTAAGATCAACATGCGTCATATGTCGTGACGATATTTTAGCTAATACTTCTATACGAATTACTCAACCAAGCTCACAGTTCTTTAGATATGCTAATATTCACCTGTTATTGTTATAAAAAAGGGGAACAGGTTCTTTTGTGATTTGTGCCAGTTTTGTAAGGCTGAAGCATTGAGCGTTATTTGCTGAGTCACTCTTAAGTGAGAAACATATTTTATTTAGTTTGATGCTATTAGTGTTCAATTCCTTCCTTTTTAGCAGGTGATGGCAAATCACCTGAGCTGTGTATTTTATTGTAAAAATTGCCTTAGGTAAAAATATCTGTGGAAAACTGGATTGTCTTGTATTTGAAGGTTGTTGCTGTTGATGCCCTACTAGCACTGGTGTGATGTATTGTTTGTGCCACAGAAGACGACCATCATTTCTCTTGTTTGACAAATAACTAAATGTTGAAATATTAATACTTGTTACTGTAGGAATTAAATCAGCGTCAGGTGAACCCTGTATCACAAACTTTTTAAGCATTTAACCTGCATGCAAAATTTTTATTTGTGTTGATGGTTCATCACTGGTGCCACAGAAGACGACCATCATAATTTTTGTTGTTTGACAAATAACTTAATGTTGAAATATTCATACTTGCTACTGTAGGAATTAAATCACCGTCAGGCGAACCCTGTATCACAAACTTTTTAAGCATTTAACCTGCTTGCAAATTATTTATTTGTAATTATGTCTTACTTTGACAATAATAATAATATTGGTCTTTCCATTTGATTTAAAAGGAGGGGTCAGTATTTTTATGTATAGAAACTGTAGTTCCTGTCATGGATGCTGCCTGGTACATCAATCCCTATAACTGCCTAACCATATTTTTTCCTATTAATTTTCTTAGTGCCTTTGTTTGGTAAAAAAAGGGTCCCTTACAAAAAAATCAGCATGATTGTATAAGTTTTACAAAAGTGATTGATTTTTTTTTTGCATGTATTTTGGTGACAAACTATATTTTTGCTATGCTTTACTTCAAATTTGCTCAGTGGCTTTGTTTAGTGAAAAGGCAGGCTTATTTCCAAAGTCAGCACCATCCAAATTTCAATTGGTGTATTTTCACAAAAAAATTGTTATAATTGTTGCAATTGTATTTTGGTTTATGGTGCCTATATGTTTTTCCAGCTTTGCTGTCAAGTTAAACATGTATTTATTGAGATCAAGTGTTGTATTCAATTAATGCAAATCATAAATGACCTAATTTTCAAAACATAATCCTCATAACATTTGATATGTAATTCATCTAATATCATAAAAAATGTTAAAAGTGAAAACTTTTAGAGGCCAGGATTGAAATTCAGTATTTTTTCATGAATATTTCCCCAAAACAATAAAAAAGCACAAATACAAGTTAACAGTTGTTGTACTATATGTACATCGTGAGAATGTCTCTAACCACAAACAGAGTAATGAAAAAAAAATCCTTTGCTGTGAAAGCTCCTGGCCATCTAAGTTGAATGCCTTAAGACTGGTGTTGAATTGACTGGCCCTTATGTTACAACCAAGACTGTTATGAAATTGTCCCATAATTCGACTCTCTGTCGTATCATGAATTTTTTTTCCTTTATAGATTTTGATAAATGTTTTGGGTCTTATCAAGCTGTTATATATTTGATAAATTTTCTTTGTTTTTATTTTATATTTTTAGGGCTATTTGTCTAAAAAAACACTGATGTACTGTCCAACATCTTAATACGTTAGGTAAATACTACTGAAAAACAACAGAACCAGAGCAGGAAGATCTTAAATATTAAACTCTTCATTAAAAGTATAATAACTCTTAAATGAATTTGACAACTAAAGTCACTTTTAACAAATACCTTACCTGTCCAAAGAATCACCAAAATGATGAAGGTATGAAGTGCCTCCATTTTCGTGCAGTTTCGGCGCACTGCGCACTCTGCAAAACCTGCAGACCTTACTGGTTTGTCTCCCAGCAGTATCCTGGATCTGTTCTGACTTATGATTGGTTTTAAAGTGAGGACTTGACAAACACCACATCACGTGAACACAATTTGTATTGCATTCTTGTATATGGTTTAGCGCTCTCAATTGATCCAAATCTTATATTCACACAAAGGGCTGTTGCTGGTCACACACCCAGACAGGTGACCTAGGGAACCTAGGTACGGGTGTACCCTGCCAGGTATTCAAGAGACTTGTTTTGATGGGAATTAATTATGAAACCATACATGTGAGATAGATCCTTGACATTGTGGAAGTCTGCTGGGGATGCAACAATTAATAAATAATTAAAACCTCAATATTGTTTGAAAGATCTATTTTACGAACTCCATGAAGGAGATTACTAGTATATGTTTGTCTTCGTTTGTTTGTTAGTAAACAGCTTTACTCAAAAAGTTATGGATGGATGTAGCTTTTCCATTTAGGAAGCCAAGCTAGAGTATCCTGCTTAATATTTGTCTTTCTTTCAGTGGAAAGGCCCCCTTTTTTGACAGAAGCACTTTTCTTTTTAAATGAGAGATGATATCTCCGTGTTCTTTTGTGATTGTTATCCTGTAGAGTTATAGGTTTACAATGAAAAGATGTATAACAATAATAGTGCCTTAGTCATCACCTATTTTTAGCATGCTTTTGTGAGAAAGCTATTGGGTAGGGCAGTTGCTTTACCCTGGTAGTAGAATATAGATCGATTGACTTGTTGTGCAAGCACACGATCATTTAAGGAAATATGACAAATGAAAATTACCGCATTTCAGCTGATAATTTCGAGTAAAATGTCCCACCTGATATTCTCATTTTTAAACATCAGATTTAAATTTAGTGTTTTTAGTGTCAATAAAAAAGGAGAGATCCCTAACATTCCCACCAATCACATAGCTTACATTGAAAAAGAAAGGATTAAATGAATAAACATCATAAATTAAAGATAAAAGATTGAATTCATACAATCAGATATTTCATCCCACTTTGCATTAATTCTGCCTCCCCCCCAAAAGAAAAATAATAAATAAATAAATAAATAAATAAATAATCAAACAATGAATGAATGAATATATAAGATTTAGCAATTTTAATTGTAATAGGTGATGATGGATTTTTTTCAAACAAGAAATGAATAGATAAACCAGATTTTTAAAAGATTAAATGTAAAGATTATGACTCTGTCACACTGGACTTACAGCTGCTTGGAGAACAAAGTTTGGCCCACCCTCACAAATACTACAGTATGTAACAAAGGATAAGACTGTAATATCTTAAGTTCATTAATACTGATGTACAAGTATGGATTTGATGACAACGTCAAATACTGTCCCAGCTCTAAGAGGGATGACAGTGGTACAAATTTATTCTCCAAGAAATTACAAGTTGGAAACTGGTATAACAAGGGCTTTAATGAGACCTGAGCTGAAATTTATCTTTTCAGGTTCCACATCCAGTGTAGAGCAGATTAGTCCAACAGGTGGCAGCAGCAGCAGTCTCCACCAGGTGGTGAGTGAGGTGATCACTGTGCAGAGAGCTCACTCGGAGGATATCAGGAAACATCAACATATACTTGCCGAATTACAGGTATATTGCAATCATCCCTGGAGTAGGTACATTAACAGAATAGACTATTAAACAATCCGGTTTGTTTTTGTCAGTTATTTCCTTTAGGAAAATTAATTTGGACAATAATGCCTTATTCTGAATTTGAATTTTAAAAAGTATTCATCAAAGTCAAATGTTATCAGTGTGTTGGTTGTCACTTGGTGGTTTCAAATAAAATTAAATTGTTCTTTTTTAGGAAAAGCTTACAAAGGGTAATAAAGGTTTCTTGTTATTACAGACTCTAAAGGGGTCTCATTGATTTATTTATTTTTATTATTTTGTATAATTATGTTAATAATTTTGATTTAACACTTCAAGTTTTGAGTTGTGCTTAACATTAAGGTAATTTACGTACAGTTGTTATAATTATTGTTTTTCCGCTCCATTTAATTTGATTTAACATTTCAAGATATCATGATTTGGTATTAACCTGTTTTTATCTATAAGACACTTTGTTTTTTTCTTATAATTTATAAATGTTTTATCTAAGAAGTGCTTAGAGTCAATGTTTAACACTATGAATTGTGAATAGTAAGTACAGATATGCAACCTTCAATTTATAGATTTTCTGTTGAGTATATTAAATGATCACAAGCAGTTTTTTTTTCATTGGTGCCAAGGTTTAAGAAATTCACATTATTATTTGATATTTTTATTCAGCAAGAGAGAAAGTGCATGGATTGACCCTGGAGTTAAACAGTTTGAAAAGAAAGCAGTGTGTTGCTGCAGATGACTTTGTCCAGAAGGCTGGCAATTGTAGGCAACTTGAAGGAGGTACAATATCCCATATACTAATTTTAATCCCATATCACCTTATAAATCAACTAATTTAACATGATATGATTAAAATTAAAAAAAAAAACAACATTTAAAACAAGTGCATGAATAATAAACTAACCTAATGAGCTGACCTTAATTTTTGTGACAGTAAATGTACAAAAATGTCTTTAAATCTGTAGTTTCCACAATTTTTCACGTTTTAGAAATAGAAGATGCTATTGCAGAAAAGCAGGACCTGACAGCATCTATTATTGATGCTCAAACGAAACTGGGTAAAGAAACGAGGTGAGTTTTAGTGATGTAGCCCTTGACCATAGATATTTGTACACAGGATGGATCCTTTTTAGAAAATGTGCTCACAAGTTAATATCAGGTGAAGGAAAAGAACCATTATGTTTTTTTTATCATACAAAGCTTTGTTTTCCTTTCTTTTATTTTAAATAGTATATTATGGTATTATTTGACATGATTGTCTATATGATTGTCTCATTTTAGTTTGTTGAAAGAATACACGGGAAAGATGAAAGAATTTGAGTCTAAAGTTGACGTGTTGGAATCAAAATATGGATACAGAAAGGAATTGGAGGAATTAAAGAAAAATGTACAAGAGTTAGAAAATCAAAGTATGTGATTAAGAAATTTTTATAGTCTTAATGCCCAGTACTTTTGTAGTATTTTTTGCTATAGTGTAAATAGACAGTTTAACTTATTTATGTTTTGAATGGACATTTCTCAAGAAGGAGTGCATTACTTAATATATTGATATGGCTAGATTGTTGTGTCCTAATGAAGATAATTGGTTAGAAAAACCATGGGTATAACCATCATTTTAACTGGTTGTTTATTCTCAGAGCTTACCTTGGAGAAAAATCCAGACAAGGCCAGACACTTACTAGAAGGTAAATGTGAGAGTGATCTCAAACAGGAGCTTCAGAAGTTAGATGATGAAAAGAGACAATTAAGGGGGCAGCTGCTTGACAAAGAAAAGCAGGTGAATATCCTTTGTTTTAAAAAATGTCTGAATGTATTGTTTTAAATTATAATGCACTTGTAGGCACTCATATCTCAAAAGCTCACCATTAAAATGTAGCTACAAGGTCTTGAATTGTGATAGATGCAAGGTTAATTTCTGTGTTATTATAAAACTAAGTAAAGTATGTATCTATATAGGGAAGTTTTGTAATTAATGTCACCC